AAGGAACAAGAGGAATGTTCTTATTGTGATTCAAGAAATTATACAAACCCTGCATTCAGACATCTACCAGAATATATGCTGTCAAATTTTGATGGCGATAACAGCCAGTGGTGGCAATCAGAAAATGGGAAAGAAGAGGTTTATCTCCAGGTAAGTTGCCATGGAGATGTGAACAATATCTCTTTTCAGTGGCAGATCAAGCATTTAATAAAGGGGGGTGCTTTTGTCAGTAATATATAGCTAAAAGCTATGTAAAACGGATGTAACTGATCATTTTTGTAAGATGCGTATTGTCTAGAGCAAGAAAATTATGCACAAAATTGACTTTTATTGCAGCGTTTCTTTGACTAAACTACTCAAATAGATTGTTTTAACAATCTTAAGCAGCATAGTGGCAGACACATGTTGTGTATGCTACTCGTTTTCTCAATGAAAGTACAACAGAAGTATAAACAGTAGCAGAGAAAAACCTTTATACTGATATATAAAAAAATTATGTCATCCAAAAAGGGGGTGTGTGGCCACACCCAATGCATCTCCACTGTATCTGCCCATGCTATTTCATCATCAGTGCTCTGCGTACCAGAAGTCTTGTAATGCTTCTATTTATTCTTACAGCTTGACCTGGAATCTGAGTTCCACTTCACTCATTTGGTCATGACATTCAGGTCATTCCGTCCTGCTGGAATGCTTATTGAAAGATCATTTGACCTTGGAAAAACATGGCATATCTATAGATACTTTGCTGACGATTGCAGTAAAGTATTCCCTCGAATACCTAAGGGTGAACCTAAAGACATAGATGATGTTATTTGTACAGAGAAGTTTTCAGCAGTGGAGCCGTCAACAGGTGGTGAGGTCAGTAGAGTACAGTATTTCTAATGTATGCGGGGAGGGAACAGTAAGATTTATGGCACATTGAATTGCCCCATGGGGGTAGGAGACAGTTTTATTTCCAGTTGAATATTCGACTTTCTCCCATGGAGAGAGGGGACAGTAAGATTTATGGCAGACTGAATGGGTGAATTTGTCCCATGGGTGGAAGGGACAATCAGGTTTATGCACAGTTGAAGTGTTGACTTCCTCCCATGGAAGGAGGGGACAGTTAGATTTATGGGGAATTGAATAAGTGATTTTGTCCCATGGGGGGAGGGGGAGAGAGAAAATAGCCTATGACTATGTTTTTTTATAATTTGAAAATGTGACTGTTTTGTTTTTTTCACTATTTCAGCTTATCTTCAGTGCCCTAAAATCACAAGAGCCAATAAAAGACCCATATAGCCCTAAGGTTCAAAACCTTCTAAAACTAACCAACATTCGTATCAACTTCACCAAACTACACACATTGGGTGATGATATTCTCGACCCTCGTCCAGA